GAAAGGTTGATGCTCTTAGCCGTATATAAATGTATGGCATGATGTGGAAAGGTTGATGCTCTTAGCCGTATATGAATGTATGGCATGATGGGGAAAGGTTGATGCTCTTAGCCGTATATACATGTATGGCAGGATGGGGAAGGTTGATGCTCTTAGTCGTATTTACATGTATGGCATGATGTGGAAAGGTTGATGCTCTTAGCCGTATATACATGTATGGCATTGTGGGGGAAAGGTTGATGCTCTAAGCCGTATATACATGTATGGCATGATGGGGAAAGGTTGATGCTCTTAGCCGTATATACATGTATGGCATGATGGGGAAAGGTTGATGTTCTTAGCCGTATATACATGTATGGCATGATGAGGAAAGGTTGATGCTCTTAGCCGTATATACATGTACATGTATGGCATGATGGGGAAAGGTTGATGGTCTTCACCGTATATACATGTATGGCATGATGGGGAAAGGTTGATGCTCTTAGCCGTATATACATGTATGGCAGGATGGGGAAAGGTTGATGCTCTTAGCCGTATATACATGTATGGCATGATGGGGAAAGGTTGATGCTCTTAGCCGTATATACATGTATGGCATGATGGGGAAAGGTTGATGCTCTTAGCCGTATATACATGTATGATTATGTTATACATTTGTATTAACTGATTTTGTATGTTTTGTTGATAAATAAAATTGAGAATGGAAATGGGGAATATGTCAAAAAGACAACAACCCGACCAAAGAGCAGACAACAGCCGAAGGTCACCAATGGGTCTTCAACGCAGCGAGAAAATCCCGCACCCGAAGGTGGTCCTCAGCTGTCCCCTAAATAAAATTGTGTAATAGTTCAGTGAAAATGGACGTCACACTAAACTCTAAAAAGCACAAATGTCCTATTGAAAAAGCGCAAATGTCCTAAAAATCTAAGCGCAAATGTCCTATTAAAAAGCGCAAACGTCCCGCGCCGGACCAGACTTAATAATCAGAAAACAATATTTCTTTTTCCAATTGATATTATTGCAACTTGTTGAAGCGTGTGATTATTTTAATAAGAACGGACATTGGTGCTTTCATTTTTCTCCCACTTTTTTTGATTCAACACTTTTCCTTCAAAGTTATTAAAATAACTAAAACGTGTCTAGATAAGTATAAGAAGATTTCCAAGATAAAAAGACCTTCAGGAGCATTTTTTTTTAAAGTAAAAGTATATATGTATCTGTAATGCTTTATGCATCCGTCCTAACTGGAAATATATGCATGTGTACGTTTTTTTTATATGTAAGGGTTGTTACCTTCAGTTATGAGGAGTGTCGTTCGTGCGTACATCGTATGACAATATTGGCTTATTTATTGTTTATTTCGTAGCTGCGCTGACATAAACTAAAAAAGGTACCAAGAAAACGTTATTTCTACTCGATTGTTAGATCAGTCTGTTCACAATAGCTATACGTCATTGTACCAACTTAGTGGTGAAGTTACCAAATCAACATACCTCGCGATCGATTGTGCACGATGCACAGCTTGAACTGTATATCAGCCGATTATGTTCTTATGTTAAGGAGTAGGTCCGGTAAGGGCCGATTTTGGCCTCAAACTTCAGGTTCATCTGATGAAAGATTTTTGACACTTTTTAAACACTTAATTGTCTACTTCAGTCGATTCAATTAGTTTATGTAAAATATTTGAAATGATTTAGTCATAAAAGACGCCCAAATTCAAGCTTAAATATGAAAAATCTATCAAATATGCCATAATATGTCACTTTTCAGATGGTTTTTGTTGAAAATGAACGTGGCCGCATCCGTGGTCACTCTCAACCTTTATATGGGTCGATACCTCTGCTGGTGGACTATCAGTCCCCGAGGGTATCATCAGCTCAGTAGTCAGTACTTCGGTACTGACATGATTTATAACAAACCTTTCTAAAATTGTCCGTTTATAAATTTTGAAATTATAAAGAAACTAAGGTTTCAACTCCCTCAGGCAAATGATGAATTTGGCTATTTGTTTTATGTATTTTTGTCATATAGCTCTTCAACTGTTTCGGTACTTATATATCCCTCGGATTTCAAATGTTTGGCTTTGAGCGTTCCTGATGAAGGTAAATCCAGAAAAGCGCTTCGGACGCATGAAATTATTTAACGTGTTGTTTTCAATTTTTTATGTATTATCATCAAATACAACTTACATTTAAATATTGAGAATGAAACACAAATGCGGCCACTTCAATTTAAGTCGGAATAAAGTTTACATTTTAACAATTTTGTAAAACTGCTATATTTTGGGGCCAAAAAGGGGTCTTACTGGACCGACTCCTTTGTATCAGAAATCAAAACGTATGAAAGACTGACAAATAGACTAATATTGCTATAAAGCACCAAGTTGGTGTGATATTATAAAAAAATAAAATAATCAGATCCAATGGCATTGAACGATTGAAGCCCTATTCACCAACAAAAGAGAATCGGAATGAGTCATGCAAATTCAATATTTGCTGTTCCAATTAAAAATATAAATTATCATATGATTAGATAATGATTTGAACGTTTTTGTAGCTTTAGATCTTTCACGATCCTTTTCAAGATCTACAAAAAGCGGTACGCGATCTTTCACGATCCAAAAAATCAATGTTTTGTAAATATTTCATTTTTCACAAAACTTCTGATTATGCTAACATAAAATAACTTTAACAACCCTTTGAATCATTAAAATGAAATGATAAGTTGTTTAGTCATTTGAATTATAAAAAAAAATCTTGTTTGTTTACATATTTAACGTCATTGAAATGTCGAGGAGCAATCTGCCTTTTGTAGTTTTGTAAAAACGGTATACTTTTAAACCTTGATTTTTCTCAGATACTGGTCATAATGTTGAACCATTTTGACAAACATGCAGTTTTATTTTTTTTGTAAATTTATACGTGTAATTCATTAAATTAGATAAGTAATTGACCTTGCATATGTCTTCTCGATAAGATTTTCTTCACGATCCTATACCAGAGCTTTCACGATCCAATCCCAATACTTGACCACCGTTAGGTATTCTTTCACGATTTCCGAATGACACCCTTGTTTTTCTAGCATGGTAAACACTCTCACTGTAAAAATATGACGTCATATGTCCTGTTACGTAGTCAAACTTTAACATCAGACATTTTAAAACTTTTTGTACGTTTCAGAATTTAATACAATTTGACAATAAGAAGATTTTTAGGTGAAAAGTGTGAGTGTTCTGTATATTATTGAAGAAATCACATATGTCTGTTGCCATGGACGACATGTACATCGTCTTAACCTGAAATCACATATGTCCGCTGCCATGGACGACATGTACATCGTCTTAACCTGAAGTAGTAGTAGAATAGGGATAAGAAAACAGTAGATCAGGTAGAGCAAGTAGAGCAGCTTGTGTAAATATTGTGCTAGTGATGGTGGAATGTTTGTGTCCACGTTGCAGACTTTTGTCCAAGGTAGAGCAACATTTGTTGGTAACCAGGGTATGTTTGTCGTCCATTTTGTTTCCACGTTGCCAACTTTTTCAAGGTAGAGCAATATTGTTTGGTGACCAGGGTATGTTTGAGATGACGTTCATTTTGTCCACGTTGCAGAATTTTGGGTTGTTAGCCCCTTTTGCCTTGCTTGGCTAAATTGTTATTTGGCTGGAGTAAGTAAATACGAGAGAGAGATGGTTGTTGGTAAGGGTGGCATCCATTTTGTTTCCACAACACACAAACTACAGAAACTTGAGAAGAGATAAAACAAAGATTGAAGAAAATAAATTATTTTTAATATCAAAAACTTATATACATTATGTATACATCACATTTTGAGTAGATCACCATTATTGCAAAAACTGATTGAGTATTTTAACATAAAAAATAAATATTACAATATATGTATAGTATATAAAAAACTTATATTAAAACCGGTATTTGAGCATACAACCCTGAGTTTGTTTCTAATAGATAAAATTTTATAAAGCTTCTAAAACAAATGTTTTTTTTTTAACAAGAATGGATTTCTAAAAAGAGACGTGTAAAAGATTACATATAGTGATATGATTAAAATGACTACAAAAAAGAAAAAGAAAAAAAAAAGAACTTTGATGGAATGTGATAGAAGATAAATTATGTTATAAAATAGAAATATAACCCACATGGTTTCGATGTTTAAAATGAAAACATGTATGAAGCAAAAATTAAGTGAATGGAATGTTGCACTAGATAAAGTAACAAAATATAGATAAAATATATGAAGGTAACATGGTTTGATTAACAACCGTAAATGCTTATTTTATCAATGTAAGAATACATAGCACCAAAACTAAAGTAAAAATGTAGTGCACTACTTTCTTTATAAAATTTGTTTCTATATGGGGAATCTGTTGGAATACATAGCACCATATAACAGTTAGCACCAAAACTATAGTATAAGCACTACTTTCTTTATAAAATTTGTCTTTATAGGGGATTCTGTTGGAATGCATAGCACCATATAACAGTTAGCACCAAAACTATAGTATAAGCACTACTTTCTTTATAAAATTTGTCTTTATAGAGGGAACCTGTTGAGAGTATATACATGATAAAACAAAAGTCTTTTCCTCTCTCAAACTATCATTGTAAATGAATAGAAAAGTTGAAGAAATATATAGCAACATATCATGAGTGCAAGTATCATGATTTGAAATATGAACTTTAATGATTATCACAATTATTTAGCACCAACTTTAAAACAATTAGCATTTAATAAATTATCACAACTATATTGCTTAATAACAAGAAAACAAAGACTATATACATGTTATATATTACAGTATAAACATTTCATATACTAAAGTATACTACTAAGGTCTGTCTAATGTTCCCCATTAACCTCTATAACATTTTTGATATTTTTACATTATATTAAGACCAAATAAATTTTATCTTTTAATCTGATAGATCATATCAGATAATTCCTTAGATGTAAAGCTTCATAAATATTTTTATTTTCTTATTTTAGAAGTTATTATACTGTGTAATTACTAAATATTTTTAATTACAATCAAGCCTCAAGCTAAATAACCGTTGATAGATAAACATGCATAACAATCTTTAGATGTAGAGTATAAGAAATCGTCTTAATTGCAATCAAGTTTCAAAACTGATTAACTGTTAATGGAGAACATCAGACTGATAGACATATATTACTTCTAATTTGAGTTAAACTTCTTATTAACATAACAAAACAGAATTGTGTAAACATATACAAAACTCCTAGATATGTATAATATTAACAACACCCTTTGAAGTAACATCATTTCAAAATCTGACTTATTCAATATTTTCAACATCAAAAAATTTTAAAAAAAATATTAAAAGAAAAATGTATTAATTTAACCATAATTTATAATCATGCCAAACACAGGAAGTTGGTTTTTCTTATGTATAGAAAATTATCACTCTACTTTGTTTAAACCTTCAACAATAAAAAAAAAAACCTCAATAAACTTCTTAAGATAATACAACATAGACATGCTAATATCTCCTTTGTCACCACAATGGATGCTTAGTCATATATAAATTAATCCTAAAATGGCATCTCAGTTAAGTCTAAATGAATTAAAATTATCAACCCAACTTTATTTAATGAATCTTATCATAACCAAGAGAGAAGAATAAATCCTTTAATATTTATGAAAAATTATTAAACTTTCATTCTATCCAGAAAACTTCATGATGGATCATGCTTCAACAAGTAACTTTCTTAATGAATTAACTAATTTTGTATCTCGACATATACCAGTAGTGGGAATTCACTTTTTCCCATGTTATTAGTGTTCAATACAACCCGAATTGTTTAAGGAAATGAAGGATTGGTATTGCTACCAGCCCATCAACACATTTAGCAATACACAGTTTAATATTTCTGGACTATATCATAGTTTGCTTCATGAAAGCAAGGAAACTAAAATAGGGTGCCTCATGAGTATGAGTGAGACCTTTTTAGGAGAACTCATGCAACAGTGCAACACAGCAAACAGTGTGTACAGCAGAGACATGCTACAGATAGTGCTGAATATTTTAAAGGACAGGTAAGAAATACTTTAAACATTTTTTTTATATAAAGTTACTTAATGAAGCAATATGATTCATAAAGCTAGTCTTACAGTGGTATTATTCATAGTTTTATAATTAAGGTGGTACCCAACACCTTAACTGAAATTAATATGGCTCGTTTAATTTTCATAAAATTTTAACAAAGTATTTATTTTGAACCTTTGACAAAAATATAAAAATTTCAAAATAATTGAACCAACCATTTTATCATAAAAATTACACTGGTTATATAGCAGTTTGACAAACACTAATTTCAATCATTGAGAAGCTTAAAATACACAAATTAATCACATAAATAAATTATAAATTAAGTCTGTTGGGTGGTATTGACTGTCTGGTGCTTCTTCTTTAAATACGTGGTGGTGCTGGCAAGGGTAGGATGATTTCTTGGTGTACTGCAGGTGGTATGGGTTGAACTGCTGCTTGGTGTAGTGGTTGATGTGGAGGAGGGTTAAGAAGTTGTCTTACAGGGGGGATGAAGTTGCGAATAGCTGGTGCAGCATTTATTAAAAATCTATGTATTCGGTTTAAAACCACTAGCAAACTGATGAGTGTAAAGATGAGGACTTGAAATAGTTCTACAAGAAGAAAATAAAAAAAAAAATACAAATTTTATAAATTGTTACTACTTAAATTGTACCAGGCTTTATTATATAGTTCATCTTCTGAGTTTGAAATATTTTGAGAACGTCTTTTCCTCCAAACAATAAATCCACTAATTAGAAAGAATATCACTGTAAGTAAAAAAAAGAGTTAAAAGCAGTGATATTGAAATTACAATTTAAATTAATAAAAAAAAAAATATCCTAATAGTACTTATATTTAGGGGCAGAAGGAATCTCCTGCAGAGGAAGACCATGATCAATTAACCCTCCCCTACTATTCCTCAAACATTTCTTCCTCAAAATAATGAATGCTATCACCAGAATTACTACAAGAAAAGAAATAATTTAACTAGTAATGGTGTCCATTTCAACATTTAAAGAATCATCTATTGATAACATAACTGGAATGTAGTCTGATTGATAGTAACACTTTTTTAATAAGAACACAAAAATTAAGACAATTAAAAGAAACAAAATTACTCCAAGAAAAATTATATAAACTTTTAAGCTACCTGTTAAAGTGGTGACGGTTGCCACTATCCATGGTGTTGTATTGGTTGCTGTCTCATTTTCTGTAGTAGTCTAAAAAAAAATAATAATAAACTACATGTAAACAAATAAAATAACATAACCCAATCCACACCATACTACATGTTACAATCAATACACATTTAGCTTTAGCTGAATTTAAAGCATGAGAAATTTATAAGTATGAATGTCTAAAATAAATGAAAAATAAGTACTCTCAAAATTTTTTAAGTCAATTTTAACAGCAGTGCTTTAATGTTTTTTAGAATACATTATCATAATGCAATGATAATGTTAAGCAGAGATTCCCTTTGCACTACTGATGAAAACCCACCTGCTGATGGCCAGGGACAGTGCTGGACAGAGGGTTGTGCTCGTATGTTGAGGATGCTGGAACACTACGAGTCTGTTCTGGCACGGAACCGAGAGAACCCACCTCGGTATGAGGAGAGGTTACTGGTACCCATTTCCATAGTTGGTACAAGGTCTTCAAGTGACTGAAAAAAAAAAACAACAACATTTATAGACAGTTATTAAATTTAATATTTATAGATTTTAATACAAATCAGTCCTACAGAAATACAATTAAAATTATGCTAACAAATATTTCTTTCTTTCTTTTCTTATATTGTTATACTTTCAAAAGAAAATAAAGTGAATTTGTCCTTCATAAAGTAGGTGTCAATTTTATGTAAACAATAAAAATGGCGGATGTTGAAAACAAGTTACATAATAACATCTTACACAAACTTTATCTGCTATCTGCACTTCTATGTTTGGGGTTGTGGAGATGGCTAAGCAACAGTTGTCGATAGTACAGGTTTTAATCAGAACTTTCTCCAAGTGCAGACCGAAAGTCATCAAGGTGCTGGAACCCGCCAATCTATCCAGTGTGATCTTTTTGACTGAAGTCGGCCCATGGAAAATGTAACTGCCCTCTCCCTCATAGAGACACTGTAGCTCAACTACCTCGTAGCTCTCATCTACTATGCTTCTGCATTTTCTAATGTTTAGATCATGCACTTGGCCATTAATACATATAACTACACAAAACATCAACAAACACTTAACGTTCACCATTTTGATTTTTCAGTTTTTTCCCTGTGAATCGTCTGCGCATGTGCACATAATTAACAGTCTAATTAAAAATAAAAAGGCGGGAGATCGTGACCGTGTCAAAAAAAAAGTACAATACGAAAAAGAATAAATATGAAAGAATTGAGATGTTGCTATATGATCTTCAACAATAGTATAACTTGAAAAAAGGGGAACGGAAGCACATATAATAAGAAAATATTAGGTACGAGACAGTGATACTCAAAATATTTTTTTCAGAAAAAAAAATTGAATGTTTTAGTTTTTGTTTTTACAATGTAGATGCTTTAAATAAAGATTTTAAGTTAAGAAACCCAAAACAAAGCAGATGACATATTATCACAGTAAAGTTTCTAGAGATTCACCAACACGTTGTTTTGTTGTTAAGCGCATTTTTGTTGGCGCACCACATAAACAATTCAACATAGAGTTGTTATGTGAAACCTAAGAATGGGGTGGTTATCTCTCCATTAGTCCCACCCCATACTTCAAAGTGTAATATTATTGGTTTAGATAATATTTTCTAGAAAAATGAAATAGTATAAAAGTGCGTATTTTTCGTTTTCAAGTACTTCTAACTTTTTACTAGAAATCTATTATTTACGAAATTTGTTAAGTGTTATAATGGCATCTGAAAATGTTCAATTTAACCAAATTGTGTCCGCAACTGGTCGGACCGAATACAGAACACAATTTGGGAGGGGGAAAGTGTTAACATTTAAAAAGTCCGCTAGAGGACTATATTATTTGGATTTAGCCGCATCAAATGGAACTATGAAGTTTAACTTGGGGCTGAATGAGTTAGACGATCTACAATGTATTCAACCTGAGGGGCCACCTGGAGTCCCTGACAGCATACTTTCCACAGGTAAGACTATCTTCTTTCTTTTTTTTTACATTAGGTCTACATGTAGGAGTTTTCTTTAAAAACACCTAGGAAATTAAAGATTATACCTTTTAAGGTGTTTTTTTTCTGTTTGTATGCGCTTACCGTAAACAACAGGAAGGTTTTAAGTATTGTCTATTACCGTTCATCTTTCTGTTTATCTATCTACCCCGCTTTTGTTAGGAGAGATATCTGTGTTCACATTTGTCTTTTATTTTAAATGATTTAATGTAACAATTGACTAACATAAAACGAAGATGGGGTATGATTGTCAATAAGATAACTCTTCACAAGAGACCAAATGATACAGAAATTGTCAACTTTCGGTCACCTTATGACCATGAACAATAAGCAAAACCCATACCACATAGTCAGCTATAAATAGCTTCGAAATGATGAATGTAAAACAAACATCCGAAAAAAAAAAACAACCTAATTTATGTACAAAATAATGAACGAAAAACAATATGTAACACACCACCAACACCTCTCGCAAGTATAAATCTTTCTTCATAACATTAGAGTTTATGTTTTATTTTTTATGTTTTAGCCGCACTCCCACCCACAAGAGCAGGTTGTGCCTAAAGAAAATGTGGCACCAGTTTACGCACCACCACCACCACCAACACCTTCCGTAAGTATACATTTATTAATGTAGAGTTTAAATATGTTCAAAAATCATGATTGATTGTTAATTGCTTAACGTTCAGTGGCAAATATTTCATACATGTTCAGAACAAGAACAAGTTAACAATAAATACAATAGGTAGGTCTTGTAATAGAGGTTTTTTTTCAAGAATCACCATTTATTCTTAACTTGATACACTTAAATGCAAACAAAGCAATACTTATTTTTCAAGTATAGAATTGAACTTAATTAGTATATTGCAAACAGCCTATTGTTCTTAAAAAAAAAATCATAAGCGACACTGAAAGTATTTCATTTCTCTCTGGGTTTTTTATTTAAATATTTCATTTTTATTATTGCAGACACCTCTAACAATTATATACGAGAATGAGGCGTCAACTTCCCAGGCCACTCCACTTCGATCCATTTTAGATCCTATGTGGAGCAAAGGCAATATGATTCCGGTGAAGGTGGCCGCAAAGAGACCGATACGTGAAGATTTACACCCCCAGTGGTCTGAGAAGAATTTAAAATATGAACCGATTTCCCCGGTGAAAAATGAACTGTATGACCTCTCTGAGGAGAAATTGGGAGCCTTTTTCCACCCGATGTGATGTACTGTTTCGCTCAATGTGATGTGACTTTTCACTCAATATGGTGTGACTTTTCAATCAATGTGATGTAGGATTATATTCAATGAACTTTTTAAGGAATAACATTCGTAAATATTATTATGGATATATATGTTAAACAGACTGACACGGTTAGTTGTTTTAAATATTTAATAAATACTATCACTAATATTTGTCTATCTTATAATGTCCATAGGCATAGCTTTCAATTGGGTTCTTCCAGTAACGTTTATCATCAAAACTACACAGTCCTTTTTTCACAATGGTATCCATGAAAAGATCATGATTTTTACTTCTAATGCACGTCATTGAATTGATGGTCGTAGTTTCTTCATTCAAACATTTCTTATACATTTCATGTCGGAGAGTCTGTTTTATTTCAGTTTTTGAAATGCCTTTCGCAACTTTTTTTTCCTTTTCACAAAAGGCTGTACATTTTAGGTCTCAGGCCAACGAATTCTTTCAAAGGAACACCTGAAAAGATTTTTTGAAGAACATGAGAAAGACATATTTAATAATATTTTAAAAGAAAATTAAAAAGAAAATTTCTGTTAAACTTTAGAGAGAGAAAAGAAAATTAAAAAGAAAATTAAAAAGAAAATTAAAAAGAAAATAAAAAAGAAAATTTCTGTTAAATTTTAGAGAGAGAAAATAAAATTAAAAAGAAAATTAAAAAGAAAATTAAAAAGAAAATAAAAAAGAAAATTTCTGTGAAATTTTAGAGAGAGAAAATAAAATTAAAAAGAAAATTAAAAAGAAAATTAAAAAGAAAACTTCTGTTAAACTTTAGAGAGAGAAAATAAAATTAAAAAGAAAATTAAAAAGAAAATTAAAAATAAAAAGAAAAAAGAAAATTTCTGTTAAACTTTAGAGAGAGAAAATAAAATTAAAAACAAAATTAAAAAGAAAATTAAAAAGAAAATAAAAAAGAAAATTTCTGTTAAACTTTAGAGACAGAAAATAAAATTAAAAAGAAAATTAAAAAGAAAAGAAAAAAAAAAAAAAAGAAAAAAGAAAAATTAAAAAGAAAATAAAAAAGAAAATTAAAAAAGAAACTTAAAAGTAAAATTAAAAAGAAAATTAAAAATAAAATTAAAAAGAAAAAAGAAAATTAAAAAGAAAATTAAAAATAAAATAAAAAAGAAAAATTAAAAAAAGAAAATTAAAAAGAAAATTTCTGTTAAACTTTAGAGAGAGAGAAAAAAAATGTTTGTTTGAAAGAACTCACCACCAAGCTCATCTTTAAATTTCCCAACTACTTTCTTATATTTGTTGGAAAAGAGATGTTTCGTTTTGTTGAATGAGCCGTAGTTGGAGGTATCGAATAGGTCTTTGATAGGTTTCATGTCTTCATATACATCATCAGTCAGAATCTCATAACACGACGAATCTAAAATGAATTTAGAAATGTTAGCAAAATACCAAAGAAGAATCTCTTCCTTTATTCTACATATACCAAGGAGAAAACAATGAGAAATATTAGAAATATGAAGAAACAATGGCTTGTATTTTAACAAACAAAAATATCATACCTGTATCTGTAAACAGCAAGTTGATCCTGTCACCGTACTGAGGCTTCATCACCTTGTAATGAAATTCATACGTCAGTCTCTTTGAAAGGTCTAAAATAGCTTGTCCGGCATAGATGGGTTTATTGAGAGTTAGGTTTATCTGTTGGTTGTGTACTCCAACGAGGTCTTCATTGAAAATTTGACAGCATAGAAACGACGGCTGGGCTACTAATTTTTTTAGTTTTTCTTCCGAGGCTGAATTGATTAGTCTAAGATTCATCCTGGCACGCAAATTTTCCATACATTTACCAAAAACACTGAATAAGTAGGAATACTTTTTTTAGATAAGTACTAGAAGCTGGCACAAAAACCACAAAACATAATTAAATCAATGTGGGTAATGCGACAAGGAGACAACAAGCAAACTTGAGATAAATTCTAATAAAAAAAAATCCTGACAACACTTTGAAATCTTACAAATTTAAAAATAGCATACCTATTACACATCAGTTTGAAAAAGTCCTTCTCAAAGTCGGTTTTAGCCTGTTTTCTCATGTTGGTGTTGAATTCTATGTATGTTTTAAGCAATGCCTTTTGTTGAAATCCTAATACTCTATGTATTTTAGTTATTTTCATTCCAAGCTCTGTATAAAGTTGTAAATTTTGATAATGCACCACATAGTTTGTCTTTTTCTTCACAGTTGGAATTAATTTTCAGGTTTTAATCCTAGGTTTCACTTTTTCCACACCATTTGCGTTCGGGTGCCAGAGGATAATCGTTATGTTTGTCGTGGAGATGTTCAGGATATTTTATGTCTACTTCTAAAATGTAAGCTTCTTTTGCGTCTGACTCGACTTTATGTAAATCAAAATGGTCAATTTCATCTTCATTTAAAAAATGGAAAAAACCATACGGCAATGGTTGAGACATTGCCCAACCGTACAAATTGTTGGCATCTAGATACATGATGTGCTTTTTCACATCTGATTCATTAAAGTTGTCAACATATTGATGATTAGCTCGACTGTATTTTTTGGTGACCATACTGACCCCACCTCGTGTTCCAAGCTCTATCATGTTGTACATGAGGGGATCAGTTATTAAATCCAGGCAGACACCACTCATTTTTAATGCTGCTTGCCATGCTAAACCTGGACTCGTGAAAAAATGACTAGCATCCAACTTGTAATATTCAAGAGTCATGTCACGGAATCGTTCGAAAACATCTGCTAAGAGTAACGTATCTGTTAATACATACAAATTGTGAAAATCCCCTAAGGTTTTGATATTGAACGTGTTCCAGACCTTTTGAGCGTGTTCATACTTTTCATCAGAAATAGCTTCTTTGGTAAAGGAATTATAAAAAGCTGCTTTTGAAGGGAGAGCTGTCTCTTCAAATCTTTCAGAACAATTCACATAATCATAACAGTATTCGTTTTTCTGTAGCAAAAGTTTAGCGTGTTCGTCATTAGACATGTTAGAGAAAGCCTTACGAAATTGTTTGAAATTTTCAAAACCGTCTGCAGCTAAATTAGCAATAAAAGTCTCCAAAGAGCTACTCATGCACTGTATGTGTCTAAAAACCTCAGTTGTCCAACAGAAAAGGATACATATTTCTCCATATTGTTTGGTATACATGTTAATTTTTTGTCTTTGAATTTACCAGCTTCCGACAGCAAAAGGTGTGCATCAAAGTTCCGCAAATTATGGAAATAGACAGGAATGAAATTTGGATATTTTAACATCAAGTTGCATCTCTGACAGGCTCCCTCTCTGTAATTGCTATAATTTGGTGATTCGTTATCTTCGTTCATACCTAAATGGTCATGGTCACGAACTTTGATTATTTTGCCTGAAAATGGTTGATTGCACACATAACAGTTTGTAGCATTTTGAAATTGCGTTTCTGTTTCCACACTCATAATTAACTCCTCATAAATGTTCCTCAATATATCATCTATGTATTCTTCCTCTGTAAATATATTTTCAAAAAAGTGTTCGACAGCGTTCTCTCCTCTGTATACAACGGCTGGCTTGGAATATTTATCGTTTGAACTGACCACAACGTAGGAGTAACCACATGGAACAAATTTCGTTTTATGTGTTTTGTTGACGATTGATTTGGGTCTGGTTGACAAGTATCTATCATTTTTGCAAAGCATTCAAAGTCTGCATAGATGACAAAAGGAACACGCATTTGTTTATGAAAGTCTCTGAATTCTAAAATGGCTTCTCCTTCTTTCGGATAAGTCACTTTTTGAAAATCAAACTTATTACAATATAGTCTGTGTTCATTTAATAAGTCTTGTCTTATGAATCCGTGAAGACATCTTCTACAGTAAAACCGTTTGGTGTGAAATTTAGTCATTGATCAGAGGAAACGATCTAAATTTTTGATCCAACAGTAGTCAGTTTCCCCGTTTTGTGATAAATACAATAAATCGATCTCACTATCTACATTTTCTAACTTTGTTAAATATAGTGGGAACACTTCTTCGTTTTCAAAGCCAAAAACATTGATTGAAATATTGTTTTGTTTCTCAAATTTCTCCATTTTTGTTAAAGACACAGGATATTCAATATCGTTCATGTTCAATTCATTTTCGTGTGTCGTATAATGTGACTTCCGATATGGATTATATTCCATTGGATGTAGGGCTGCCAGCACAGACCATAGAAAACACTTTTGGTCATCATTTCTAATGTTGATAATTCCACCAGTGGACTTAATTTTGTGTGGTAATTCAATATAATTTGAACCAGCTATGGGTGAGTATGGTAAAGTATGTACTTCAAGGCATATAACTTTATTCAATATCCAGTTAGATCCCTTGTTGATAAATTCTTCCATTACTCTGTTAATCGTTTGGAAAGCTTCATTTAAATTATGATCATTACTCTCATTCTGAAGAGATATGTAACTTTTGCTGCAGAAATGTGGATGAGCTTTTTCTTGTTGTCCATCATCAATATCTCGAACCATTTCCACTCGAGCATTTACATACCATTTAACATTTTTTTGTTTCTTTTATTGAGATACTATTATTTCTTCAACATCAGTTTTCGTATTAGCCAAAAACCGTCATAAATCATATTTTTCAACACCAATAGGCATAAGGTCTACACGATTCACTGATTTGTTAATGGCGCTTTTCTTAAAACGAAACCGTTTACGTTTTATCTTTCCGACAGCTGGCTCCTCCGTTTTAGGCATTCTACCTCCTGTTTGGTTTAACGGATGATGGTTAGCAACATGGGTGAATAAAGAATCAACACCATCAAAGGAGGCATCACAGTGTTTACATGTAAGTTGCTTAGTTAATTGTTTATCCCGTTTGTTTATTGTATGCTGTCCAGAACACTTATTACCATGCTTGACTAAATTATGTTTTTGCGTAAACGATTTCCCACACGCTAAACACTGAATTCTGTTAAAATGCGAATTCATATGTCTGTTCAAATTTCTGTTGTATTTGAAAGTTTTATCACAAATATTACAATTTAACTTTGGTCTTTTTACATCAACATTTTCACCACATGATTTCTTACGTTTGAGTTTATTCTCAACCTCTATGGCTGCCTTCACCAACATACCATCATCAGATTCGTTAACATGTAAATCATTGATATGAACACCGTTGAGGGACTGAGCCATGCTTTTCACTTGTACAAGATGGTAACAACTGCTTAATTTCCACAATTTAAATACATGTGACGATGTCAAACAATGCTGCAAAAGAAAAGTAAACAAAAAACAAAGATGAAATGGTTATCGTTTCGAATTTAGATGTCATGTGACGATGTCACATGACATCTAAATTCGAAACGATAACCATTTCATCTTTGTTTTTTGTTTACTTTTCTTTTGCAGCATTGTTTTAAGGGGCATAACGATATATGGTTTACTTTCCTCATGTTGTGTAATTTTTCTCTTATTGTTTGACTTCTTCAATTTTTCAGGTTGAAAGTCCTCTACTAACTGTTTACTTTTCAAGTCATCGATAGTTTCTGGTTTATCTTTTGGCTGATCTTGATCTCGATTTTCTCTTTTTTCCGGTAATGTCTCTAGATTTTTTAATTGTTCATACCTCAGTTTGGGAATCAGAATCAGTTCGCGAGACATAACAGAGATATGTCTTTAGGAAAATAGGAAGCAGTCCACTTATCTTTAATAAATATAATTTTCTCTGTTTATATGTTGCGCCTTTGGAAACAGTTTTACGTATGAGATGCTTTTTCTTGGTCAGCAAAGTTTTATCAACACTTGAAATGGGGCAAACTCCTTGCATCACATTGTATATTTTTTCAATCAACCATTCCAACTGTTCCTTGCTTAGTGATTTAATCGTTTGAGAAATTTGTTTTAAAGTTGCATTCAAAAAAAAATGTGCTAAATAGTCCTTCATTCTGTAGAGTGATATACGATAGGTGTCTGTCCAACTCCACGATCTGTTGTCAACTGGTATGTTTTTTTCTGTATGCGGATTTAAATCAATAATTAATGGGCGATAGGCTACATATGTCGCCTTCTTGTATGCATCAAAAAAGTATTTAGACTGTCCGGGAAAAATCTGTTTACCAAGAGTTTGAATTTGTAACTGATCTCTATAATTCCAAAATAAAACAAAGTAATGGCAATTGAGAGAGGCTGTTCTCATGGCTTTGCCTTTACAATACAAGTTATGTAGAATCTGAATCAAAGTGATTGAATTATGGTGAATTCCTACTGTTAAGAGATGGACCAGTTCTTTACTATCTGCAGATTCTACCATCAGGTCACCTAAAACAAGAACCTTATGCCCTTGTAAAGTCCCCCATTCTGATAAAACATCCATATTGGGGAAACCTTGAAAAATTCAATGTTTGGTATTGATGATTTCATTTCATTGAAAACTGGCTGCCAAATACTGTAACAGTAAAATATCTTCAACGGTGGTACTTGAAACATACCATCTGCATTTTCAAGAAGGTTTTTTGTGTACATTGTTTTTCCTGAATTTGACGGGCCAACAATGAATATTGATGTTGGGCTCTGAATTTTGAGCAAACGTTCCTTCTCCCACCAGTCAACCATACTGTTTAAGTGAAATAATAAAAATAACTTAAAGACAAACTGTTTTATATGTAAAAAGACAACAACAATAACATATAAGCATTAGTTCTTTATTTTGATACAAGATTGATTCACAACATTACATACATTGTTCACACAACAATGAAACCGATTGTCTATAAAACTGTACACAAAATTATCATTTAATTGATAGTCTTCTGAAAACACATCTGTTATCTGTTGCATGTTAAATCCTCTCACACGACACATTGAATAAAATACGCAATATTGCCCACAAACAACTGTGTCATCACCTTGTAGTCTTTTCTCTTTTGATTGTATGCATGCATAATTCCGCATGAATTTGTTAAAATAAACAGTGAGTTCTTTTTCTGAATACCCAAAAGAGTCAAATACTTCAAGACTGTTCTTTCTATTACAGAAAAATGCTACCCAATGTCTTCCTGGTAAGCCTGTGACATCTGTATTGGCTATCACACCCATTCCTGGTAGCAGGTGAACTTGAGACAGTTCATCAGATGAGAATACACCAAGAACAGATCGTTGTAAGTCAACGTCTGAAACAATGACACACTTTAGCTCGTAAGTATTCATTCTAAAATAATGTTTCTTTCTAAATTTATTTCAAAATAAGCTGGAAACTCTGCATACACAACACACGTGGACGCTTTCGGCAGTGGTGTATTGAAATTGACTTCTAGAGAACAAGTTCCTTGTTTCACTAAGTTTAAGTACTGTCCCTCGTCGCTGAAATTTGGTTCTATTTCAAAACAATATAAAGCATTTCCTCCTGCTATATCATTTCTACTCAACTGATTTCCATTGTCTCTCATCCACTTGTTAGTCACTTCAAACATACTATTAAAAGCAGGTAGTATAGTACGACTTGTGGCTCCATAGTTTAACTGCATAATATTTCCACCTACAGGAACTTGGTTCAGTTTGAGTGTTATTTGACTAAGGTTGAAATGTTGAAAGTTGAATGGGTTTAACGTATATGATCCACTAGAACTAGCGGACTCTGTAAAAGCTATAACACAACGAATTGGTCGAAGACCGTTGAACAAATTATTGTAATTAAAACTAAGACTCCCAGCAGGTATAGAAATAAGGCGCACTTCTGTTCTGGTATAGGAATATCTAGCATTTGTTGTTTGTAGTTTCTGCGCATGTGCCGTAATGACAGCAGGGTTTAAACGTATTTTGCACACTTTTAACACTATGTCATCAATGATGATTTGAAAATTTGGATCTTTTTCACTTGTCATCAAAGCAAACTCGGGTCTTGAACGGTAAAGTTTAACATTAATAGCTACTTGATTCAGCATGTATCTGTCCAGACTACATAAATCATGAAATAACGGACCTTCTAAATCACACACTTGGCTTTGAGTAAAATATTGTGCGCGATCGAATAAGGAAGAATTGGCACCATTTTCTACATCACTATCAACAAAATGTCCTGGTTGATCTTTTTTCCATAATTGACTAGTCAGCTGAGATTTTTTTGCTTCAGATCCAAAAGATAAAAGAGTTTGTATCATTGCCTTGTATGGATAATGTGTGGTAGTTGATGTCACCAACTTATTTTTTGTAATGTTATATCAATCTGTGAGAACATAGAGTGTAGAAAATTGTTAACTGGACCAACATACTCAGTAGGTTTTAGACTATCTCCATTGATATGTTTTATTCTCGCTTTTACATATAACTTTGTTTTTCTAAAATCTATATACTCCAGTGAATTTTGGGCTGCAATATTAAATTCTATTGGTGCAGTTCCAGTTAGCTGTGCTGTTGACCTATGTTCATCATAATACACTGAATCAACCGCTGTCTGTGTTGGTGGTAATGAAAACAGATCCAAACCACTCGGTTGAGCTTCTTGGAACCCATCTAACGATAAAGCAGCCATTTACTTGAATATGTCTTTGAAGGTTTTCACAGAGCTTTGCAGTTTTTTCTTGTTGGTTTTATTCTTTGTATGCCTCTTCTTGCTTGATGTTTTGGTTGTCTTTCTCGACTTTTTGAAGAGTTTAGTCAATTTTTTGGTAGTTTTACTGGACTTTTTGGAGGTCTTGTTCGTTCGACGTCTTTTGGAAAAACTGGTATGAGAGCTAGATGGCTTTCTTTTTAATGTCTTTTTCTCTTTTTCAACCATGTCTTTATCCATTTCATCCGTTTGTTGGATAGGAGAGACAAGTTAAATTTTTACTTTCTCATCAGAAGGGGTTTTGGTTGGTATGGCGATTGGTGTAATGGATGACTTTGAGGTTCCAATTAGAGACCCACCTCCAATTTGTTTTTGACCTTTGTTAGTATTGTGATGACCTTTTCTATCTAGCTTTTCATAATAATTAATCCAGCTACCTACATTTGGTACATACATCTTGTTCATTTTTAAAAGAATGGAAACGATTTGAAGTGTAGTGTTACCGTTGAAGGAATATCTAAAAATGAAGCCAGATTGTTGTCACCATCAGTTATATAGATATCAATATTATAAAGGTCATTTATTTTTACAGGAACATAATGTGGAACTTCGAAAATGTTTGACCAGTTTCCCATGGAGGCTGCACTCAACCTTCGAAGAAGTGGCTTTTGTTCTCCATCGACAATAGATTCACCACATATATTAGAATACAAGTAAATAGATTCTGATTTAGATATGCTACTTGAAATGTCTGCTTCAACTAGGGCAACTCTCCAATTTCCATTTAAAAACACAGGTGAATTCAGTTGAGAAGAAAATGTGTATGCCTTGTTGTTTGGAAAATAGTTCAGAGATTTTTCACAATTGAATGTTATGTAGATGCTCATCTACAGGAGTCATTTGGGTCTGCGATATCCTCTACATTCAACCACTGATTATATTTATTTGACCACCCTTCAAACTTTACTAACCACTGAACGCGTCCATTTCTCTTACGTTTTCGATTTTTTTTTCCACATACCACATAGCATCTTCATTCTTGTTTACTTTAACCATCTCTGATTCATAAAATAATCCTTTTATGGGAGTTCCATCATACTCCTTTATTCTATAAACCGGTATAGCCTGCATTCGAAATCTTTGGCTAACTTTAAAAATTTCTCTTGTGAAATGTTCATCATATGAACGGTCAAATAGCATAGAAATGTAAGAAATACGAATTAAGTCATTAGCCTTAAAGTGGTATGATCGAGGTTTTTTTTATGTTATTTTCTTTGGTTTTAAATACATATATGCCCATATATCTGCTTCGTTTGTTTTGCTGACGTCTTTTGGTTGGATATTGTTCAAGCTTCTATGTGGAGTAGAATTGTATACTTTAACAATATCTTGAAGTACATCTAAGTACCTATGATTTCTCCTCTCTGTGAAGTATCGATACATCATATTTTTCAGTCTTGATAACTCTTTCAGCGTAGTTAGCCTTTGTTTCTGAATTTTGTGTGGTAAAATATTGTATACCTTCATTTTTCAGATATGATTTCATTATGTTGTTGTTAAATTCTTTTCCTTTATCAGTTCGAATCTTTTTACATTTTCTGTTACCAGCTAAAATTTTCTTCATTGCCTCGACTACATCTTTTGCTGATTTATGTTTTAGAACCTGAATCCACAGATACTTTGAAAAGATATCCACGACGACTAATAGGTACCGAAAATTACTGTTTTCACTCGCTATGCTTGACATATCAGCGAGGTCCATGATCATCAATTCCAGATACAATTACACGAGCACGACGAAAAGAATGACGGAGTTCCTTTCTTAAAGTGTAACTGTCTTGACTTCGTAATAGTCTTTTTATCCTGGATCGTCCAACATTAGTGATTCCTTTGGATTTTAATATTCTGTACATTTTTTCGGGACCTACATGTGTGCTTTTATATGTGTTTGATATTAAATCATTTATTCTATCTTGTGTGTTCATCTTGGATTTTTTTCATTATATGAAAGGTAAGAACTGTTCCCATTGTATTTAAGGTTGAAAATATTGGTTTGGTATCTCTACTGAAGTAAAGTTTTGAAAGCGAGAAGGAATTTAAATTTTACTGATACTTTCTTCAATTGAGATACCAAACCAATATGCACTTTGTGAAAACAATAAAGACACAAAAAACAAAAACAAAATACAAGTAACTAACTTTTATTGAAATATCATTAGAAACAGTTCAAGCATCTTATAGTTCGTCTAGTAAATGCAACAGAGGCTTAATCAGGAGTGGTATTAATTTGTGATACACTAACAGTGCTCGTCTTTTCCTGCTTACACTATTTCTCCGACTTGCTAAAAACTGAAAAGTTTTCTTAAACTCTCGAAGTTTTCGTCTATGTAGTATACTAATCATAAGTGTTCCATGATAAATTCTATATGCAATGTTTGAAATGGTTCGAATTTGATCATCTGAACTCTCCCCAATCAATTCTTTTCTTCTTCGAGGTCTATCAAACATGTCAAAGTAAAGTTCTTTCAGGAAGGTTGAGTTTTCCAAAATACGTCTGTTCATGATGAGTGTTTCACATTAAATGATAGTCAATGTTAATGATTGGTGTGCTTTAAATTAATTTAATTCGTCTGTGAATCTTTCTTCCAACAACACCAATCGTTTACACCAGTGTAACACATTTTCGGTACTTGGTTTATGTAGAATGCACCAATCCTTTAATGTTGATAAAACGTCATTTTTATAGTCATCTGGTACATCCATGAGCTTCACTTGATTCACTCTTCCTAACCATGTCCTTCTCCGCTATCTGTTTATAAGCAATATCGAAATAAGTTTCTAAATGTTCCATTTTTGTCCACATTAAACAAGTGTGTTGAATCTGACTCGGATGGTTTACTTCACATCCATAACAATGTTCTTTCACAATATCCGGTAAACAGTCTAAGACCATCCTAGCATACAAATATTCAAGTGTGTGAAGCATAATTGTCTCGGCTTTTTCAAATGTTACATCCATAGTGTCTTCTCTCTATAACAATCAATCTGTAAATGAACGGAATTCGAGGATCTTCTTATAGTGTATCTCAGTCATTACGTAACATTCTTAATTCATAAGTATGTTAGACAAGGTTTTACTAGATACCATCTTTGCAAACAAACAGTTTGGATCCCATTTAACATGTTCTGTTTCGATATCGTCTTCTTTAGTCCACTTTTTCAGAGTAATGTCACAATAAAAACATGTCACTCTATCTCCTATATCAGTGTAAAAAAAACCATTATGAGCTAGATCTTCTGGCTTTTGATTAATCTGATCCGGCCAATTTCCATATGTTTGCATTCTATTTGTGAAATACATCATATTCATATGGGCCGGTTTGAAACGGAGGAGGTCTGAAAAGTAACAACCTGAGTCTGTTTCTAAATCCATGATTAATCAGTAAAGACTAACATTTACTTATATACCACCACCACCACCTGAAGTCTCTGCAATTTGTATAATTAAATCGTGCTTCCAGTCTTCAACCTTTAATTCAACAATGTCATACAGCTGCTTTAATTCTATGAATTTACTGAAACCATATTTAAATAATAAGATATATATCTGTCCCTTTTTTGTTGATAACAAAACCTGGTAATGTAACTTCAGAATTTTCATTTTAAAATTATTAACAACATAGATCGTAATTTCAAAAATAAATTTAGTAACGTAAAAAAAAAATAGATGCCATCCACTTAAATAACAATTTAGCCAAGCAAGGCAAAAGGGTGTAACAACCCAAAATTCTGCAACGTGGACAAAATGGACGTCATCTCAAACATACCCTGGTCACCAAACAATATTGCTCTACCTTGAAAAAGTTGGCAACGTGGAAACAAAATAGAAGACAAACATACCCTGGTTACCAACAAATGTTGCTTTACCTTGGACAAAAGTCTGAAACGTGGACACAAACATTCCACCATCACTAGCACAATATTTACACAAGCTGCTCTACCTGCTCTACTGTTTTCTTATCCCTATTCTACTACTACTACTACCTGAAATCACATATGTCTGTTGCCATGGACGACATGTACATCGTCTTAACCTGAAATCACATATGTCCGCTGCCATGGACGAAATGTACAACGTCTTAACCTGAAATCACATATGTCCGCTGCCATGGACGACATGTACATCGTCTTATCCTGAAATCACATATTTCCGCTGCCATGGACGACATGTACATCGTCTTAACCTGAAATCACATATGTCCGCTGCCATGGACGACATGTACATCGTCTTAACCTGAAATCACATATGTCTGTTACCATGGACGACATGTACATCGTCTTAACCTGAAATCACATATGTCTGTTGCCATGGACGACATGTACATCGTCTTAACCTGAAATCACATATGTCCGCTGCCATGGACGAAATGTACAAAGTCTTAACCTGAAATCACATATGTCCGCTGCCATGGACGAAATGCACAACGTCTTAACCTGAAATCACATATGTCCGCTGCCATGGACGACATGTACATCGTCTTAACCTGAAATCACATATGTACGCTGCCATGGACGACATGTTCATCGTCTTAACCTGAAATCACATATGTCCGCTGCCATGGACGACACGTACATCGTCTTAACCTGAAATCACAGATGTCCGCTGCCATGGACGACATGTACATCGTCTTAACCTTAAATCACAGATGTCCGCTGCCATGGACGTAATGTAGATCGTCTTAACCTGAAATCACATATGTCCGCTGCCATGGACGTAATGTACATCGTCTTAACCTGAAATCACATATGTCCGCTGCCATGGACGAAATGTACAACGTCTTAACCTGAAATCACATATTTCCGCTGCCATGGACTTAATGTACAACGTCTTAACCTGAAATCACATATGTCCGCTGCCATGGACGACATGTACATCGTCTTATCCTGAAATCACATATTTCCGCTGCCATGGACGACATGTTCATCGTCTTATCCTGAAATCACATATGTCCGCTGCCATGGACGACATGTACATCGTCTTAACCTGAAATCACATATGTACGCTGCCATGGACGACATGTTCATCGTCTTAACCTGAAATCACATATGTCCGCTGCCATGGACGACACGTACATCGTCTTAACCTGAAATCACAGATGTCCGCTGCCATGGACGACATGTACATCGTCTTAACCTGAAATCACAGATGTCCACTGCCATGGACGTAATGTACATCGTCTTAACCTGAAATCACATATGTCCGCTGCCATGGACGTAATGTACATCGTCTTAACCTGAAATCACATATGTCCGCTGCCATAGACGTAATGTACAACGTCTTAACCTGCAATCACATATGTCCGCTGCCATGGACGTAATGTACAACGTCTTAACCTGAAATCACATATGTCCGCTGCCATGGACGACATGTACATCGTCTTATCCTGAAATCACATATTTCCGCTGCCATGGACGACATGTACATCGTCTTAACCTGAAATCACATATGTCCGCTGCCATGGACGACATGTACATCATCTTAACCTGAAATCACATATGTCCGCTGCCATGGACGACATGTACATCGTCTTAACCTGAAATAACATATGGCCGCTGCCATGGACGACATGTACATCGTCTTAACCTGAAATCACATATGTCCGCTGCCTTGGACGACATGTACATGGACGAAATGTACATCGTCTTAACCTGAAATCACATATGTCTGTTACCATGGACGACATGTACATCGTCTTAACCTGAAATCACATATGTCTGTTGCCATGGACGACATGTACATCGTCTTAACCTGAAATCACATATGTCCGCTGCCATGGACGAAATGTACAAAGTCTTAACCTGAAATCACATATGTCCGCTGCCATGGACGAAATGCACAACGTCTTAACCTGAAATCACATATGTCCGCTGCCATGGACGACATGTACATCGTCTTAACCTGAAATCACATATGTACGCTGCCATGGACGACATGTTCATCGTCTTAACCTGAAATCACATATGTCCGCTGCCATGGACGACACGTACATCGTCTGAACCTGAAATCACAGATGTCCGCTGCCATGGACGACATGTACATCGTCTTAACCTTAAATCACAGATGTCCGCTGCCATGGACGTAATGTACATCGTCTTAACCTGAAATCACATATGTCCGCTGCCATGGACGTAATGTACATCGTCTTAACCTGAAATCACATATGTCCGCTGCCATGGACGTAATGTACAACGTCTTAACCTGAAATCACATATTTCCGCTGCCATGGACTTAATGTACAACGTCTTAACCTGAAATCACATATGTCCGCTGCCATGGACGACATGTACATCGTCTTATCCTGAAATCACATATTTCCGCTGCCATGGACGACATGTACATCGTCTTATCCTGAAATCACATATGTCCGCTGCCATGGACGACATGTACATCGTCTTAACCTGAAATCACATATGTACGCTGCCATGGACGACATGTTCATCGTCTTAACCTGAAATCACATATGTCCGCTGCCATGGACGACACGTACATCGTCTTAACCTGAAATCACAGATGTCCGCTGCCATGGACGACATGTACATCGTCTTAACCTGAAATCACAGATGTCCACTGCCATGGACGTAATGTACATCGTCTTAACCTGAAATCACATATGTCCGCTGCCATGGACGTAATGTACATCGTCTTAACCTGAAATCACATATGTCCGCTGCCATAGACGT